TTCACAAGGGCAAAGGAGAGAAAAGCGACCTTTGAACTAAAGGACTAGGATTAACATTCTAAGGCTGTCACCTACTGTAACACTATTTAACACTGGTCATTCAACGTTTGTGCACAGTTCAATTTCTTGATGTTAGTACATTTTAGTTATTCTTAAAATTAAGAAGTTTCTATAAGCTTAGAGGAAACAATTTTTTTATTTGCTTATATATGGCATGAATAAATACAGATTTACAGATCCTAATGTACAAATTTATCTTATAAAACAGGGATAAATCATGCATCAAAGTCATGAAATAGGTACAAATGCAAGAACAAATAAGGTATTCAAAATTATAATAAATGGAGGGGCAGAGGGTGCCAAAGACGCTCCTTGCCTGGGGCACCATTTGGTCTAGGGCCAGCCCTGCCTAGGAATGTTGGAAGTCTTTGCAAATACATAAAACTGAATCAGACATTAAATCTGTCACTGCTGCAGGTTTAAGTATGCCTGTCTTGAACCTCAGGCCAGTGCAGATTTTTGAGGGGAAGTTCTACACTTGGAGAAAGTTGGTGGGGAGGAGGTTGGTTCTGAGCGGGGAATAGGGAGTTGGGTTGATAGTTGTTTAAACAACTGACAGCTGTTTGAAGATGTTCAGAGGCTGGAAATTCAAAATGAGTCCTGAAAGATGGATTGGTGGTCAGAGTGAAGGTGGGGCACTGAAAGATTCAAGCTAGATTCAATTTACCTATTATCACCCCATGATATGTGTGGTTATAACCACTACCAAAGATATGGATGTTTGTTTCTGAGGGCATCTTTTGAACAACACTGTAGAACAAAACAACTTTTAAAAGTTACTCAATGCATTTTCACTAGGTTAAAGAAAGTATTGCACATTCAAATGACTTTTTGGAGAAACAGAAGGATGGGCTAGACGATTTTTGCTTCTGTTCACTTTTTGTAAACTGGCTGACATCAGCCTTGTACAGGTGCATTTCTGCTGACTATATTTTTCCATTTCCTTGGCACATGAACAGAAAAGCAAAATAGCATATGTTTTATTGTGTACGGCCTGTTGGAAAACAGAACTTTCTGTTCTTCTGAAAGTCTCAACCTGGACTTCCAAGCTTTAAAAAAAAAAAAATTCTTTTTGAGAGGGTTTTTTCTTTAAAAATGTCTCAAAAGCACGTAATGCCAACTGTGGCATTACTGGAAAATTAATTGAACAAGTAGCAAATACTGTTGGAATAACTGTCCCTTAACTGATCACAAAGAAGGTGGGACTAGAAATAGATTAGGGGCCAAATCCTGCAAATCTGCAGATTGCTCTGATTCACTTGAGCTGTCCTGTTCCAGTAACACTGTATTTATTTGATATATGGTATGCTGAAGAACCTATATAATGGGAGGCACTGTACATATGTCATGCTACAGTAGAACCTCAAAGTTATGAGCACCTCAGGAATGGAAGTTGTTCGTAACTCTGAACAAAACATTATTGTTCTTTCAAAAGTTTACAGCTGAACATTGACTTAATAGAGCTTTCAGACTTTACTATGCAGAAGAAAAATGCTGCTTTCACTTTATCTTTTTAGTAGTTTACATTTAAACCTGTACTTGCTTTTTTTTTGGGGGGGGGGGGAGGAGATGGGGGTCTCTGCTGCTGCCTGAATGTGTACTTCCAAATGAGGTGTGTGATTAACTGGTCAATTCATAACTCTGAGGTGCTACTGTATTCTCCATGCATTAATGCATAAAACAAGCGAGCTGAGTGTTGGGACACAAAGAGTAAAAAAGGCTTAATGGGCACCAGATCCCTTTCTGATCCTGTGAAAGCTCTGCTACATTAACTACAAGGGGTTCTGCAGGGCTTTTGGCAGATGAGAAGCAAAATGTAGGGAGAAAGGCTGGGGCTGGTCATCTATAGCACATCATCCCCTTCCAGACCTGCAGAACTGCCAGTGGAATTTTCCCTCAGATTGCACATTGAATATTAACTCAGTTTTTGGCTATTCCCCCTCCCAATAGCCCAAGAAATTGGTGGGTTGGCTAAGAGCACAGCTGGAAAATACAGGTCAGCAGGGCTTAAAGAGGAGTTGTATGTTAGGATGTAGGGAACCTTAGTCTCTATGCTGCTTTATCCCTCCACACAGATAGCCCTCTTCTCTATGCAGATCCTGAGATTCATTTAACTGAAAGTGCACCTGCTGCTTCTCCAAATGGAACAGGCTGTTTGGTAACTCCATTCATTTAAACTCTGTTCAGGTAATTTCCTGTTCCTTGACAGTGGGAATTGTCCAGGCTCTAACGATCATAGGTTAATTGAATATGAAACAAACACAAAATAAACAGAAATGTAAGCAAAAGTCCTTTTGCAGAAGAGACAGTAGGCAGTGTCACCTTTTCACCCTTGTTGTACCCCAAAAGACAGAATTTAGCCCTTAATAAGGCAAGTAAAAGCCAACATAGATCAGCAGGGATGGAAAGAGTAATGAGGCAAGATAAGATCTATGTCAATAAAACAAAGTTCATAGGGTAAATGAGGGAACAAAGACTAATGTTGACTTGCAAAGAATATTTCAGCTAATCCTGGAGCCTTCCTATTTATAGGTGCAGATTAAAAATGAAAACTGATCAACAAAAAAGAATCGCAAATACCTAGACAAGAGCTGAGCAGATACTAAACATCAACACTGCCTTTTCTTGAATAGAGGAAGAGGGAGAATTACTTACATTTCAATAGTTTTGGACTAGATTGTATCTAGTCCTATGTGGGCATAAAGGGAAGGGTACATAGTCTTCAAACTCCTGGCATTCCTTCATGGAATTTAGAGAAGGCTGCATAAAAGTTTCCAGTACAGGTCCCCTATTTTCAGTCTCAGAATGTAGACACCAGAACAGCTGACATTTCCCAGACTTGGTATCTGCTTGAGGGTTGTTAATTTTTTTTTTAAAGGCAAAATAGTTCAGCATTTGGGATTATAAGGAGAAAGACAAATAGTTTCCCTATTACCCAAAAAATAATGTGATTTAACTTTTAAATTCTTCCTTACCCTCTCTCATGTAAGTTTCATCCCCTTATGACTCCCTTGAATTGCCTTTTTTAAAAAAGTACTGTCAGGCACCAAACCCTGCAGAATAAGATGCCAAAGAAAGAAGGTTGGTCCCATGGTCAAATGTTTCTGCTGAATGGAGCTAAAGAACAGGAATCTTGCAGTGTCTGACGTTCTAGATTTAAACATTTAGCAGCTATATATTCCCACTTTAAACAATACTAGAAATTTCCTTCATTGTCAGTGTATTTCACTCTTAAATACTATGGACCAGACAACAATACAAAAGGAAAGATTAATGCCATTGTACAGATTACTTACTAAAACAAAATAACTTGCCTAATGTGCTGGAGACTACTGTGCATATTTATGATTTGTCTCAGTTTTGCTAATCAGTGAAAAATATAAAGCAAAGAATTTCATTTCTTCTTCTGCAACAGAATGGTAAACAGTGCCATCTACTGTTTGTCAGTTTTTCTTAATTCCGTATGGAATGCCAGTTGTCAAGACCATGAGGGGCTCAGCTATTTCAGAGAGCCTGAGAGTAGAGCCACTACTCCTCTGGATTGAGAAGAGCCAGCTGAGCTGGTACCTGATAAGGATGCCCCTGGGAGGTTTCCTTTGGAACTCTACTGGGCACATTCCACTAGGAGGAGACCCTGAGGCTGACCCAGGGCACGCTGGAGGAATTGTATCTCCCAGCTGGCCTGGGAACACTGGGGAATCCTTCAAAAGGAGCTCAAACATGTTGTGGAGGAAAGGGAGGTCTGGTCCTACCTACTCTCCATGCTGCTGCCACAACCCTCACCAGTAAAAGTGGCATAAAGGAAAAAAAAGACACTGACAAGGGCTGTGGTGGATTCTCCATCACTGACCATTTTAAAATAAAGACTGGATGTTTTTTCTAAAAAGATATGCTCTAGGAATTAAATTTGGGGAAGTTCTATGGCTTGTTTTATACCAGAGGTCAGACTAGATGATCATAAGGGTCCCTTCTGGCCTGGGAAGATATGAAACCCATGGACTCAACTCTGTAAAAAGGAATCATTTAACTATAAAAAGTTAATCAGAGTTCATGCAGTTTTGTGTAAGTTATTCCAGAGGAGAAATCAATTACTTGAAAAGAAACCTACCCGTTTACTGACTTCTAACCCCTCCCCTGAACTCACAGCTAAAACAATGCCTCAGCATTAAAAAAGATTTTACAAGATGAAGTTAGTGCGTCATCAGAAAACTTGTGCAAAAAACAAAACAAACAAAATACACCACTATCAAGTTTTATAAGTACTTCAATTGTGTTGAGAAACCCTCTTCCAAGGAGCTTACAGTCTATATCAGAGGTGCGCAAACTACGGCCTGCAGAACCATCCTGCCTGTCCTTTGAGCTCCCAGCCAGGGAGGCTAGCCCCCAGCCCCTCCCCTGCTGTCCCTCCTTCCCTCTGCTTGCTATGCCACCAGTGCTCTGGGCAGCAAGGCTGCAAGCTCCTGCCGGGCAGTGTGGCTGCAAGAACCGCTGGCCTGCTCCAGTGCTCTAGACTGCATGGTGGCATGACTGGCTCCAGCTGGCATGGTAAGGGGAACGGGGTTCGATAAGGGGCAGGGGGGCAGTCAGAGGACAGGAAGCAGGGGGCAGTTGGTGTGGGAGTCCCAGAGGGACTGTCAGGGGGCGGGGGTGTGGATAGGTGGCAGAGGGTCCCAGGAGGGGGCAGTCAGGTGACAAGGAGCGGGGAGGTTGGATGGGGCGGATAGGAGGCAGGGACCAGGCTGTTTGGGGAAGCACAGCCGTCCCAACCTGGCCCTCCATACAGTTTTGGCACCCCAGGCTACATGAACACTGTTCTATTGCCAATCAAGTTTGCATGAGGAAATCTCAGTTTGTTGACCTGGATTCTGTGTTTCTTTTTTTTTTTTATTCTATTTAAAAAGTCAAGGTACCTTACTTCAAATACAAGTATGCAAAAGGCATTATATTATTCTAGATTTTATTTTCAATGTATAGCACAACATATTTTGGTGAGTGTATGGGAATAATCCCCACAAGAGATCACAGAATACAGAATCTTTTTTACAGTAATATTGAGTCAGACAGAGAGAGAGAGAGAGTGTGTGTGAGAGAATAAACATGAAGAACCATTCCACATCACATTTCATTTGACTTCTGATGAAGCCCAGGCATTTAAACAGAGCCCTTTGGAAGCCTAATTTACAATCGTTCTGGTCTGTTTAGCAGAAAATGAACTAACTGAAGTAGAATTTCATCATTAAAACCTTTTACGTTATTGCCTTCCACAGCTTCATATAAGGGCTTACTTTCTGTTCCCCAACAGATATTCTTCCGAGGGTTATTTTGATCAGCTTGTACAGTTAGTGCTAAGGTATTCAGCTGATAACAAAAGAAAGCGAAGTATTTTCCATCAGTGATCACAGCCTGCGATACAAAGGGACGGGTCACATCTGCCTCACACCAGAATCCTGTAAATGAAATTACACCCTAGTTACACAAGGCATAAGTAATATTCATATTGGCACAATTCCAAACAGGGCTTGAAATAGAGACAGTTACAAACCTAAACTGCTTATCCTCAAGGAACAAGATAGATTATTATATAAAATGTTTTGACTGAAAAGTCTAAAACTAAGAACACATCCCCACCTCACCTACCCCCAAGAAAAGTTTTATGTCACATACTTTAAGGACCACTTTCAAAATTATACTAATTTATATGCTCACAAAACTAATATTTTCAATGCGTATGGACTCTCATGGAACAGAGTCTGCCTGCAAAGGTTACCCATCTTTCACAAAACTGCATGTTTAAAATTAGATACAATGTACAGCACCACACATTTGGTGTGTCCTGCAAATACTATTTTTGGGGGCAGGGAACCAGACCGTTGGCAGCCCAGCACCTTCTATTTAGAGGATAACTGAATTTTCCATGAACCCTCTTATGGTGAAATGACTTTATCCATAAGGGAATGCACTTATTCATCACGACAATTCAAGAATATGTTTGGTTGATTCAAGTTTAATACACCATTACTGTTGAATGCTAAAATGGTTAGACAGACAAGCTAAATCTTTTATGGGGTTCTCCTTTTATACTATATCATGTTGTTCTGCATGCACAACATATGCAGTAGCATATGCAGAGAACTGAACTTACAGCACAAATATTGAATACATATGCTTCCTTAAGCAATGCTCACTACTAAAATTATAAAATAACCAGGTAGAGTCAGAGAATGAAGACAAATGTTCTGTCTTATACACCAATGTCACTGAAGATTCTAGTTGACTTTTAAAGATGAGAATCAATTTCAGTGTTACAGATACACCACAAAAAAAAGAAGTTTGGATCACATGTGATTAGCATATGCTATTACACGTGCAAAATTTGATGCAAAACTATTTTCTTATTGTTTTATACAGATCTATTAATTAGGGGATTTGCATCACTGTGACCCAAACATGGTGCCATTACTTCAGAATCTGCTTCCACTGCCAGAAGCTAGTTACTAGCGAATGGCATCTATAGCTAAGTGAATTAAGTTCTCTTGAACCTTCTCTTCTTTCCAGCTGAGGTCTTATTTAATATTTATAAGCCCTTTATGGAATTTGAATTGTACAGATGGTGAATATGGGAGTTTGCTCAAATATACACACTCTTTTTCTCAACAATTAGTTTTTTTTTTATTGGCTATTATTTTGATCAGATACAAGTAGTGCAATACTAGTGATCAATATGTAGATCTATTTTTTTGTAATCTATCTCAGATTACAAAAAATCTCTAGTCTGTTATTATGCAAGTATACTGGGCATTATTTCTTCAGATATACACTGTTAGAATTTAGTATAGGGCATATCTGAAAGGCCAAGCGCTAGAGCAAGAACATTAGATTTCATGTGCCTGTAATGGTTTACTAGTTCAGGATAAAACATTAGCTTGATCCCCATAGCAACTATTCATCTTTTTGTGTTTCATTATAATATACAATACAAGCTCATGAGACTGCTTTTAAAGACAGTTCACCCTATTGCATAGTAAACTGGCTTATAATCAAATTCAACCTTCCATGAAGATTTGGATAAGAGAAATTTGATTTATGTGCACCAAACACAGAGTAGAATTTAACTGCCAAAATTCCACTATAACACCCTATTTTTGGGATACTAATTTCAGCTGCTTACTATCATACATTACAGCCAAAAAACTTTAGTGTATAGACTACATATTTTAACCTAAAAAATACCAAAAATAATTTAACGTATATAATTGCAAAATTAATAAGTGCCATTTAATGTTCCATATATATTGGCGTGATTCTTTTCTCCTACTCTTCAAGCATTTTACTCAGATTTAAGGGTCTTGTTTTAAAGAATTTGTTAATATCTCCCATATACATAGTTTAATTGGCTCGTTTAAATTTCAGTAATGAAATTAAAACATGCTCTACACAGAAAGAAAATCACATATGGACGATAAAAGGAAAGGGAGAAAGAAGTCTGCTCGCCATTTATAGATGTAAAGACAATCAAGCATAAGTTTTGCCTCACCTTGATACATAGCTTGTGCTGCAGTCCAAGCAAAGAGACTTGCAATACCATTAGCTCGATAAGTTACTTCAATTTGATCAGCAAGGTTTGCTTTTAATAATCGCTCCCTTTTCAGTTTATCAGGAATCAAATGAAATTGCGTATGACCATAGCTGCATGGATCTGCGACTTTTGATCCTGAGTTCATAAAAAGGAAGAAAAGTTAAAAGCCACTTTAAAAAAAAAAAAATCAAATCAAATGTTATAGGTAGCATCAGAGGTTAAGGAAAAAAATATTATTTCTGACATCTCTATTATTCAACTTCTACCCAAAGTAACAAGTTATTTAAAAAGTTAGTTTGGTTTGAAATGCTGACATCAATATTTCTTTGGTTTCCTCTAGTTCAGAAGACTAAGTCTCCTTATGAACTCACTTGCTGGCTAATTTGGAGAAAAGTCACTAAAATTAAAGTTAATAATTTACTAGTTTTGGTCCAATCTTGCTCCCACTGAAATTAAAGCGGTACTGCCTCTTCCCCCTTCATTGACTGGATGTTGTTTAAAAAGACCAGAAGACTCCTTTTAAAGCTGACAGGTAACTGATCTTCCTCTAGCAAGAGTGGTAAGAAGCATATTTTTCTGGAGCTGTAGGAGAATAAGAGTGGGCTTGGCCCTGACTGTGCAGGTATCTGGTTTATTACAGAGAAGCAGCAGCCTCTTTAGGAGTAAAGCTATCTGAGCCCCCTTGTAACTAAAAGAAAAGCAAAGAACAAAATCCTTTTAAGGCCCAATGACCCATTCAGAAAACATTCTGCATTTTGAACAAAATATTTTCAGATCAAGACTTAAATGACTCCTTCTGAAATATGAAGTGTCTAATGTGTCACTTTATCACAATTTGAAGTGTATGGTTTTACTGACTATACCCAGTCTCTTATTTTTTTAAATTAATGTTCAGCAAAGTATAGCACCACAGTCATGTATGCCATTAGACAGATTTTGAAATTGGCTCCTGCAATAAGCCGTTTTCAAAAGTGTACCATTCTTTAGTACTTCTACACAGTAACTATATTCCTATCACTAGGAAGTCTTACCTATAAATACCTTGTTATCGTACTGTCTTTTGAACAATGGAAGTTTGTCTGGTTTGTGATTAACAACAGGAACTTCTCCAGGGACTGAATAATCTAATGGTACAAACTTGAAGGAACGAGAGAGAAAGAAAATCAGTTCAGCAAGTCATAGAAATGTTTTTGATCTCAGTATTATTACATAGTACATTGATACCAATATTTTGATTCTTAAGAAAGAATTGTTTAAACAGCCATCCAAACACCTAGGGAATTCTCATTGAGCTCAACATCCACTTTACAACCTTGAACAAACCTGATCCTGTTCCGAGAGAGAAACCAACAAGATCGTATGTTTGTCCTAGAGAGCGTGAATCTCCTGCAGCAATAGAGAAATGTGTGTGTAGAACAGGAAGGACTGAAGTGCCAGAGCCTGGACAATTGTTGGTTAGCACCACTTTCCACTGACTGGAGATGGCATATCCCACATTTTGCAGGGGAAACAAAAAATGAACACCAAAACTTCACTAACAGCATTTTGTGTTGGACTTTTATCCTCACATTGAATACAACATGGTCATAGTATTTTGCAGTTCAGATTTTTAAAAAAGCAACTAGCCAATCATACTGGATGCCCAACTCAAGATGCCAATTTCAAGAATGCTAAGCATGCATCCTCTGAAAGAGGACTCAAAAGTTGAACACCCAAGCAAAAAAAAAAAAAAGAAAAAGAAAGTCATTTTTTAAAATCCTGGTGTACATTTTCTTTGGCAAGTTATAGAAAATCTAAATAAAACATACGGAACTGAGAAACTTTCAGTCCTGCCACTGAGTTTAGCACTGACCATATGATTGCTAGCAAGGCTTCCTCCAATGGGTAGTAGCCCCAGTATACACCGATTTCCTCACATATTATATATGTATATTTATTTCCTTCCCCCCCACACTTAAGTTTACTCTAAAATACAAACTAGATTTTTCCAAACTCAAGTTTCTGATTAATTGAATGATTACATCTTGATTTCCCCCTACATACATATTGTATATATATTTATTTATTTTGGTGGGGGAGGTAGGAGAAGAGGATAAACAGGAGACTCTTTCCCTAGTAGTAAATTCTAAGAAAGTCTCACCCAAAGTGTTTGTGTACAGCATTGCTGAATGCCTCACAAAAGTAGAATAGAGGTTAAGTGCTATTTTTTCAAAAGTTCCCTAAAACTTCTCTGAAAATAGATGAAAACCCAGTATAAAAATTAATCATACACACCTACAGTACTGTATGTGCTGTTATTTAACAGTTTGAAGTTTATTCTGTATTTAACTAGATTTTATTCTTTGTCTACCTATTATTTGTAATTATCCTACCTCATGATTTAGAAGAAAGCCTTGTTAAAACCAACACAGTCAAAGAAAGCATTTTAAAGAATGTACAAAGCTACATTGCCTACTTGTAAGGGCACCACGTTTATCACCTTCCTGACACTAAAACTCTGATTTTCAGATTTACTGTTACTCAGTTTAATCCTATCTAGCAGTCTCAACCTTGGCAAAGCACACAATCAAATTAACAAAACAATAAAACAGTCAAAGTGCAAAGCACAGCACCCTGAAGAAGCACACAGGACTAGCTGGCAGGAGCACAAAAGAAAAGTGTGCATGTTTCCCCTATGCTGCCCTGCTATCCTGGAAAGGTTAGGGATGTGCAATCAGTTTCGTTTTCTTGAAGAGGCAGCTCAGCTTTCAAAAATTTGGTAAGCTATATGCTAACACCAGTGATTCTTCTATATTATTTTTATGTTTGGAATTACAGAGTTCAAGTTTAAAAGTTTAGATGCAACCTCTCCCCCCCTTATCTACATATTCATTCTCTCATTTCCAATGACTCAGTCTCCCCCTCATTCGTACCACAACCCAGATTCACTGCCTCTCACATCTTGAGGAGAAAAAAAAGGAAGAATTCTGGTCCCACCAAGACTGGCAAAAGTGGAATCTGTGACAAAAGGAGCTACAAAAGCCAGGGGCTAGACTCTTCCAGTACAAGCTTCTATGCATGCTATACACATGAAGAATTTAAAGAGGATGTAAACAGTACCAAGAAACTGACTAAAAACATTCTAAGAATTTATAGTGAAGTGGACACCTACACTTCATGACATTAAGAAGAAGCCCTTACCTATGGCCTGTTCTACGCTACAAAGTTAGGTTGACTTTTTTTGACTTAGTTTTGAACTTGTCTACACATATATTTCTCTCCTGCAGATGTAAACGCCCTATTACAGACGCAATGCCACCACCTCCCCGAACGAAGCAGAGCCAGTCAATCTAGATCTGTAAACGCAGTGCGAGTGTAGACATTACCCATCTCAACTGTAACAGTCGACTGGCAGCTGTCTCACAATTTGCCCTTGTGTTCACATCAGTCGCAATTTTAAACTCCACTGCCTGGGGTCATAGACACCAGAAGCCTGTCCCCACCCTTTAAAACCCCCAGCTTATTTTTGCAATGCCTTTTCCTGATTGCCCACTGAGGTGAGAACACCTACGGGGCCCACTGTTGTGAGCATCTGACCATGCTGGCTCCAAAAGAGTAGGAAAAGAGTCATGGATCACCTCAGCCTGTGGGGAGAAGAAACCGTACAAGCCCAGCTAAGGAACAGCCGAAGAAATTTAGGGTATGTCTATAATGCCCTGTGACTTAAAAAATCTGTGACTTAGCTGACTCAGGCTCATGCTAAGGGGCTGTTTAATTGCACTGGAGATGTTCAGGCTTGGGCTGGAGGGTCCCAGAGCACAGGCTGCAGCCTCACCCTTAAAGTCTACACCGCAATTAAACAGGTCCTTAGCCTGCATCAGCTAGCACGGGCCAGCCATGCGTTTTTAATTGAAGTGTAGACACACAGGTGTACAGATTGCATGGGGTGCTGAAATTGTGGCCCAACAGGGATTAGCAGCAGTGCCATACGAAAGTGAACAAATTTCAGCAGGACTATCAGAAGGTAAGGAAGGGCAACAACAAATCTGGGGCCTCCCCTACACCTGATGTTTATAGCATGCCATACATGGCATAGACCCCACCAGCACACCACATATGACGGGACACTTTGCCGGAGCCTGATGCAAAGATCTATTCAGTGCACAAAGGGAGGGGAGGACTGCAGTGAGCCAGGAGCTATTTGACAATCTTCTGGAGCCAAGACAGTCCTACCAGGCAAGGGCAGATGGGCCAGATTATGAAGTGGGACAGCGCTCAGGTAAGTGTACACATGTATAATTCCTTATAAGCATTTTACCTTTTTATTGCCCAAAACCTCCTCTCCCTCTCACCCTTCTTCCCCATTTAAAAATAGCTCCCATCTCATTTGTGCATTTAGAGAACAAAAGTACTGACTTCTGATTTTCCATTTTCAAACATATGTGTAATATGTTTGAAAATAAAGAACAAGTAGTCCTTGTGGCACCTTAGAGACTAACAAATTTATTTGGGCATAAACTTCCATGGGCTATCACTCCATGCATCTGATGAAGTGGGTTATAACCCACGAAAGCTTATGCCCAAATAAATTTGTTAGTCTCTAAAGTGCCACAAGGACTCCTTGTTGCTTTTGCAGATACAGACTAACTCAGCTACCCTTCTGAAACATGTTTGAAAAGAAGATTAAAAAAAAAAAAGTGTGGCAGTCCGAATTACACAGTCCACATCAGATCAGTGTCCTGTTGTCAGACAGTGGTAGAAGAAAGATTGAGGTAACATCTGCTTTTCCATTATATGTCTTGATGGGCTAGACAGGACCACAGTTCCCCCCACGGAGAGTCTTTTGTTTATCTGAAATGGAATGTGCCTTATTACTTCTTGAGCACTGCCTCAACATTCATGGAGATACCCTGCAATTGTCTCCTGAACATTTCTAGAGATAATCTTGTTTCTTCCACCCCGATAAGAGATATTCCCACTCTACAATGAATTCTGCAGGCACCAGTACAATAGCAGCATACAAGCCCGAATAATTTCAGCATTCCAGTATCAGCTGAGTTCTCTGTGCTTTTACATCAGTCAAACTTTGTAGTGTAGACCTGGCCTATGTCATCTTGGATACCATTTCATCAATATCTACCTACCTTTGGAAAGCACATAGTACACTGTAATTCAAACAAGAACATAAGAATGGCCATACTGGGTCAGACCATTGGTCCATCTGGCCCAGTATCCTATCTTCTGATAGTAGCCAGTGCCAGATGCCTTAGGGGGAAAAGAACAGAATGGGGCAATTTATCGAGTGATCCATCCCCTGAAATCCAGTCCCATAGGTTATGGGGCACCCAGAGCATGGGCTTGCTTCCCTGACCATCTTGGCTAATAGCCATTGATGGACCTACCCTCCATGAACTTATCTAATTATTTTTGAACCCAGTTATATTTTTGGCCTTTATAACATTCCCTGGCAATGAATTCCACAGGTCGACTGTGTGTTGTGTGACGAAGTACTTCCTTATATTTCTTTTAAGCCTACTGCCTATTAATTTAATTGGGTGACTCCTGGGTCTGTGTGTTATCTGAAGAGGTAAATAACACTTCCTTATTCATTTTTTTCCACATCATTCATGGTTTTATAGATCTCTGTCATATCTCCCTTAGTAGTCTCTTTTCTAAGATGACTAGTCCAGTCTTTTGAATTTCTCTTCAGATTATCCATATTCCCTAGTCATTTTTGTTGCCCTTCTCTGTACTTTTTCCAATTCTAAATTATCTTTTTAGAGATGGCCAACCAAAACTGCACACAGTATTCGAGGTGTGGACATACCATGGATTTATACAGTGTTATGATGATATTTTCTGTCTTATCATCTATCCCTTTCTTAATAGTTTTCAACGTTGTTAGCTTTTTTGACGGCCACTGCACACAAAACAGATGTTTTCAAAAAGACATCCATGACTCCACAATCTTTTTCTTGAGTGCTAATTTAGACCCCATCATATTGTACATATAGTTAGGATTGTTTCCCAATGTGCATTACTTTGCATTTATTACCATTGAATTTCATCTGCTATTTTGTTGCCCAGTCACTCAGTTTTATAGTTTTAATAGCAACTAAAATCATGAAATAAATAAGATTGTTATACGTACAATAGAACCTTTATAGAGGAAATTAGGTTTTTCTACAAAAGTTTTTCCCTGAGATATGACTATTTGAGTTTAAAATCAGACAAAAACAAGCAAACATTTATAACAATGGTTAGGATTTTTAGACAGAACATACTTTCTGCTTTGAACAGTTCAAAGCAGAGACTCTCTTACTAGGTGTTTGTATCGTGCCTATCACAGCAAAGCTAGTGTTATACATGTTACATACTAAATGCTACTGTAACACAGTACTAGCTGATATTCACTTTTAGAAGCATTAGAAACATCCATACCTCTGGAAGCTGTTTTGGCACACGGATCTGAATCTGTGGTTTGTCATCTATCTGAAATCTCACTGGATCGATTCTACCAGTTCGATATCCTCGACAAACAACAGTCTCACCGCGCTCCCAATAGAAGTTAACCTGTGGTTTTAAATCTGAAATGAAACATATTTTGTTTTTAGCCAGCCCATTACCCCCGTGTATACTTGGTGAAAGCACGCAAAAAGACATCAAAATAAAAAAATCAGTCAATGATGTAACCATTACCCACAATAGCCCAGGGGCATTTCAGCACAATCTCTTCTGCTGCTCCATGGCCTAACCTCCCAACCAGCCCCAGCCCCGATCCCCAGTAACCCCCCCCCGCGCAACCTCCCGCCCCACCTAAGCGGGCGGCGGCGAGCAGCGGGTTGCAGCTGCCCAGCGCGGCGGTGAGGGAGGAGACCAGCTGGGTGAGGAAGGGGGCCGCGACGTGCTGCTGCTCTCGGTAGACGAAGGGTCGCTCTCGCTTGCGCTGGTAGAAATGCTCCTGCAGGAGCGCGTCACAGGCCAGGGAACGCAGCTCGCTCAGATCCGGGCCCCCGGGTCCCGCCGGCTCCGCTCCCGCGGGGGGCAGCCCCGGCACGAAGACGGTCTTGGTGAAGCTCTGGTACCAGCGGTCCGCGTTCAGGGAGAAGGTCTGCGGGTAAACCACGTACTTGAGCCGCTGCAGCCGGCCGTAGAGCCGCAGCTTCTCCGCGATGGAGGGCGCCGCGTGCACCTGCTGGTAGAAATACTCCAGCCGGCGGCGCTTGGCCGACTTGCTCTTGGCCGTGTGGGAGGCGACCACGGGCGGGTAGAGCGGAGACGGAGGCTGAGGGGCCGCGGAGAGCTCGGTGTGCAGCAACCGACAGCTGCCCTGCCACACCAACCGCCACCCCCTGGGAGCTGCCATCTTGTCAGAGGGGGAGGGAGACTCGGGACGGACAGGGGAGTGTACACCAGTAATTGGCTACTATTAGTCACGTGGGTACTTTGATGCGCCAATCCGAACGTTCCTCTGAGAAACTGGGGGCCCCGAGAAAAAGAGGGCGGAGCCACTTCTTGAATCAAAGCATTTCATTTGCCCGTCGCTCCAGGAAACAGTCAAAGGGGGAGGGTTCCTTTTCAAGAAAGTGGGGGCGGAAGAAGCTCCTTCCTAGCCACTATGCGCATGCTTCCGGCGGACTGTCTTGTTGAGGTGTGTTGTCAAACCCTGGGCGCGAGGCGCGTTGGGAAAGAGGACTACAGTTCCCAGCATGCAGAGCGAGAGCTGCCGGGATTGGGGCCGCCGCAAGGTCGGCTGAGTGCTGAGCGCTTCCGCTATGCTGTGGGCACCCGCGCTCCCCAGCGGTCCTGGCCCCGACCCCCTGCTCCTCTTCCTACAGGGACCTCGCACCTCTAAATTTCCCTTCCCAATAACCTGCTTCTCCCCCCCGACCCCACGGGGTGAGCCTGATCTCATGCCGGGGAGCCGCTATCACAGGGGGCTGTCCCTAAACGGGCCCCTGAGCCCGCCCCCGATCCTGCTCTCACCGGGGGTTCCCAAACCTATACCGGCCCCTGAACCACACTGCCCCAATCCCGCTATAACCTGTGGCTCCCATCCCTAGACTGGACCCTGACCCATACTCCCAGATCCCACTATGACCAGGGGCTCCTGGCCCAATATGGGCCCCTGCACCACAGCCGGTGATCCCGCTTTCTCTGGGGACTCTCCTTCGTATCTGGACCCCTGAACCACGCTCCTACATCTTGCTGTCACCAGAAGATCCGATCCCTATTCAGGCCCCTGACCATGCTCTCATGTTCCGCTGTCACCACTTGATCCCATCTCTTATGGGCTCTGAACCACACCCCACATCAGGGGTGGGCAAACTTTTTAGCCTGAGGGCCACATCTGGGTTGCAAAACGGTATGGAGAGCAGGGTAGGGAAGGCTGTGCCTCCCCAAACAGCCTGGCCCCCGCCCCCTATCTACCCATCCCACTTCCTGCCCCCTGACGGTCCCCCTCAGAACCCCTGAGCCATCCAACCCCCCTCCTCCTTGTCCCCTGACTGCCCCCTCCTTGGACCCTCTGCCCCTATCCAACGGCCCCTGTCCCCTGACTGCTCTGACCCCTATCCACACCCCTGCCCCGACAGGCCCCCTGGACCCATCCAACCCCTCCCCCACCCCCCCCCACACACTCCTTGTCCCCTGACTGCCCCATCCCTAACTGCCCCCCCAGGACCCCACCCCCTATCTCCCCCCCCTTCCCTGCTCAATGTTTCCTATTGGAAAGCCTGGGAGGTGGGTGGACGCAAGCCATGGTGCCTGCACGGTGGTATGGTTGCAGGGGAGGGGGAAAAGTGGGAGAGGGTCCGGGGGCTAGCATCCCTGGCCAGGAGCTCAGGGGCCGAGCAGGACGGTTCCACGGGCCGGATGTGGCCTGTAGGCCATAGTTTGCCTACCTCTGCCCCAGATCCTACTATGACCACCTGGGCTGTCCCTATAATTACCAAAGATGCAAACTAGTTATCATCACTAGTCCTTGTTTGTTTGTTTCAGAAACATATTCCTCTCAAGTCACTATTCAGTTTACAACGTTATGACAATAACACATTATGAGAAATTTAAGGGACATGTCTTGCATCCAATAAGTTGTCATCTCTTTCCCTTGTTTGAGAACTTTATTTTCTTTTACTACTGAAGAATGTATCTCTCAGTCACAGCATGTCCACTACAGTCCAGGCACTCAGAAGTTTGTGAGATGTCTGTAATTGCAGTTGAGGCATCCTTAAATGTGAACTCTAATCTGAATCTTAGATTATTTTGATGATATAAGGACCTTTGCCAGTTAAATAGTTTATCCTCCATAACATTAATGATTTACCATGTGCATCTCTAGAGATTATGTTATTTAGACAAAATATCAATTCAGAAAGTATCCCCAAGTTACAAAATTGTTTTAGGAGGGTTCCAAGGATGCTAAATCAAAATCTCCTAAGTTACTTAGTATATCATAATGTTACTAATATGTGTAACATTATGACATACTATTTCAAAAAGGCTGCTGAATAAGCAAAGAAATAACAGGGGGCTGGATTGTTCTCTCCTCTGCAAACAATCATGGGAAAGGGCTGAGTGCTGCTCTGTATTCACATCCCACACTATTGTAATAATCTCTTGTGAGCAATCATTTGAAAACTAATATTTTACTGATCAATAATACCATAGTGAAATGTGTGTAGCAACATTATATATAATGTTATGAACATCAGCTGAAATTGTGACTGAAGTGTGTTTACCAGACAAACCTGGGAAGAGGGTAAGCCTGTTTCTGAAAGACAGTGGACAAGCTGTTGCCTCTAGTTAGGTGTCATCAAAATTGATTGGCAATTACTCATCAGTGGCTATTCTTTGGCAACGGAAGGGGGCAAGAACAGATCAAGCTACACTTAACCAGCAACAATATGGAACCTCTTTCACCACAAAACTTTTTGTCAAAAGGAAGGAACTTTACCCAAGGGTAACCCTCAGGAAAATGTATTTCAAAAAGTGACTGGACTATAAAAGTGAGGAGCAAAAACATCTCAGATATTCCCTCTTTCTTTTTCTCCCTCATGCTCTCTCTCATCTAAGGAGACAAAAGAACCAGCCTTTTGACTTTGGGAGGGGTTCTGGCCTGAAAATTTGGCTAAAATCAGCCTTGTTGCTGGCAACACGTGTTAAGTATTTTACCTTGAACCCAGTCTAGTTTGTTAAGGTTTAAGTTACTAGAAAGTGTTTTATCATTATTTTCTTTTGTAGCCATTTCTGACTTTGATGCCTTATACTTGTATTCACATAAAATCTGTCTATTGATAGTTAACTGAAATTTGTTTTATTCTTCAATCAAAACAAATCCAGTGTTGTGTTTAAACTGAACTGTTTGGGCAACTCCAGTTAAACTGCCAACTGGTGGATATGGTCCTGTAATATCTGACCTGTCCAGGAGAGGGCTGGACAATGAAGAACTTTTTTTTTTTTTTTTTTTTTAAATTGGGACCTGAGTGACCCTAACACACTCTAGGAAGTAGTAACTAAAGATGGGGGAAGCCAGAGTGTGACTGGAGTGTTGCTGTCAGGCTGCGGCTATACACAGACACTCAAGAGTGTCTTCTGTGTGCTGTTTGTGAGGGGCTCAGGTTGAGAGCTACAGCAGCAAAGCATGGGGAGACACCCAGGTTTGCAAGATAAGTGGTGACACAACCTCTCATTGATCTGCATAGCACCCTGGAATGTGATACACATCACTCTGGTGGGTATATTCCTTTTGGGTCTCTGGTGAAGGAGCTTTGAGCCATCATCAAATCCCACAGGTTCACCAGGATCTGCAGGAGAACAAACACTCTGCTGACGCCCGTGTCTTCTTGGTTGCTCTGTATCCTCCCGCCTGCTACTTAACACAATTCCAATGGCTCTCTCATATTAGATGCCCTTGATTATGATTGCTCTGTGGATTACCCTTATCCTTCATGGAAGGGGCTCTTGCAACACATAATACAGGTCCATGGAGTCACATGGAGATTGATAGATCCATCAGTGGTTATTAGCCAGGACAGGCAGGGATGCAAAACCATGCTCTGAAGTGTCCCTAGTCTGTTTGCCAGAAGCTGGTAATGGGCAACACAGGATCGATCACTTGGTGATTACCTGTTCTGTTCATTCCCTCTGAAGTACCCGGCGTTGGCCACTGTTGGAAGACAGGATACTGAACTAGATGGACCTTTGGTCTGACCCAGTATGGCCGTTCTTAAGGACTAAACACATTGTTATAAGTTCACTTCAATATCCACCTTAACCATATTAACATGCATGTGAAACAGACTGGCACCTGGTTTGCCAGCATCAGATTCAAAAATTTGCTAGACGTCTTCTAGATATAAAAGAATCAAACTCTTATAATATCTATACTGGATCTGTAAGACAAAAATAATTGGTCATAATCTGAGAATGCTTGTACGTGTATTATTGATTTGGGGATGAATGGGGCATAAGGGTCAACCTAATTTAATATACATAAGCATCTAAGTGGTGAGGAGATCTTTCTAGTGGACAGTTGTACTCTGGGTTCTTAATCATAATGGAAAAACCTTTAAGGGCAATTGGTGCTGCCAAAAGATTGATTGTTATAACATGGAAAAAGAACACAACACCAAACTATCCATTGAAGTAACAGCCTGTCAGAAACTGCAAAATCTGAGAGGACTGCATTAACAAGGAAAAATCAACTACAACAATATGATTCATTATGACAGCTGTTTATGAAACTATACACAAGCTAAAAATAACATGCTGACACTTCAAGTTGTACAGTTTATTATTTTTTCAACTGTCTGATGTAATCTTCAAGATTGTTTAAAGCTACGTTTCTCCATCAGACAAAGTTTAGTGTTCAGTACTTTTAGTTTAAAAATAGCAATACACATTTAATAAATGAATTCCATATCATTTGAGGCTTCCATCCCCCTTATTTTTCAATTGGCCCCAGAAATTCAATATTTCAGAGAAAAAAATCTGACTGTTCCGTGACACATTTGTAGGCTTATCCAGCTGGAATATTTATAATTAACCAAGTAAAAGTCAACAAACATCAATTTCACTGTGCACACAAACTGATGAAAAATAGTTCCATCAATAACTGAAATTTGTGGATAGGCAAAGTAAGAAGAATGCTTGAGAACTTAGTTTCATTTAGGGATATATACTTTGTATATATATTGACGTGATGTCGACAATTTGTATTTTAATGATTATAAAGCTTTAATTTTTTGAATCTCAACATCCACTGTCATTAATTATGGTCTGATCCCCCCATAATTTCACTCAACTGAAAATTTAAACTGATAAAAATAAAAAAAGCTTTAAAACAATCGATATTATCCAGCAAAATGATAAAAAAATAAAAATCA